TTATAATCCATACCAAACACCCCCTATGGATACCTCCTTCAAATTCTAAGGTACTTACAAATAGTTGTTGGCGTCGGTACAAAGATTAGGTGTGAGATTGTTTTGATATTTATCATTTCTAAGACATGTGATGGATCAATGTGTCATATATATTTTAAACATGTCAATATTAAAATAATAATAATAAAAAAAAAACTAGAGCGTGTGATTTGATTATAACTCTATCCTATAGAATATAAATAAAATAAAAAAGAATTGTATCTTTTATTAATTTTATATGGTCTGTAGTCCTTAAAAGTCAATAATTGTATTTTTCATAATTTTCAATTTCAATTTTATTCCGTGAATATTTAATTTATCAATTATTGTGTTTCTTAGGTGTAGAGTATACTTTGATCTATATCTATATGTATACCATTATCGAGCACAAGAAACTCTAGAAATTTCAAAGTATTAATATAAAATTTTAAAAGTTAAGAAATACAAGTGACAGATGACGGATTTATCCATATCTATAATTTTAAATTTAAAAAAAATATTTACATAGAAAGTCAAATAAATAAATTTAATTATACATAAGGCCACATCTAATTTGATATTTGAAAATCCTTAAAAGGAAATTTTAATTTTAAATTTAATATGATATAATTTAAAATTATAAAAATATTTACTTCAAAATATTATTCATTTTTTTTAAATATTTGAAACTAAAAAATAAATGTAATTTAAAACTTTATGGATTTATCTAAACATATATAACTTTCAAATTCAAATTCAATGAAAGAAATGTACATAAAATGTCAAAAAATAATTTTAGCTATACATTTTCGTTTAGATAGTAATTTGTTTAGCTATGTCCAAGCTATATTTAATTTTAAATTTATAAAGAAAGCCTAAAAAAAATTTGAATCATATATAATTTTAAATATTTAAATTATTTTTTAGCTGTTAATCATAACTTATCAAATGGTCAAAAATGTCAAGTACACAAGTCATAATCTTATTGAAAAAAATATTATATTGAAAAGAACTTCACCTGATTATCAAAAAAAATTCAAAAAATAAAAATAATGGTCTACATATATCGTGAGTGTAGCTCACATCTCACTAACTTTAAACTTATATTATACACTCACTTTTGAAATAAATTTTTATGGTCCATCGCATTTTTTAGACTAAAACATAGTCTATGAGCTTGCCCAGTCTAATTGATTTAAATTTATTATTATAAAATATTCTACTTATCAATGATATAATTTAGGTGATTTTTTTTAGGGTCCCTGATATTAAGATTTTATAGCATAAAGGATATCCAATATTTTCATAATGTCTAAAGTCTTTCAATATCAATCTAGAAAAAATTCGATCCAAGAATTTCTCTGGACTTTCTAAAGCAATTCTCTTTAGAGAAATTCTCTCCATTCTCTAGACTTCCCACTTTCCAGAGAAATTCTCTCCATTTTCTGGACTTCTCACTCTTCAGAGAAATTCTCTTTAGAGAAATTCTGAAAATTTGTCTGAACTGTCCTAGGAATTTCTCTAGACTTTCCAAAGAATTTCTTCCTAGAGAAAGAACCTCAGCATTAACAAGAAAAAGAACTTCAAACTAGTTACTAATTTGTCAAAAAAAAAAAAAAAAAGAATTCAAAAAACAAGTTCAAAAAAATGAACCAAACATCGCAAGATGGTAATACTATAAGTCCACAACATAGACAACAAATTTGAATCCTTAAATAATGAATGTCAATTAAAACAACAAAGGGGATTTATACTGTGTAATTAATTTTTCTAGAAAGCAAATTCAAATTAGTCCTTTTTATAGGGTTTTTCCCTCCCAATTATAGGTCTAAATTCTCAGAATCAAAAGTGCACCAACCCATGCAAGTCCTCAAAAACTCAAATTCCCCAAATAAGTAAACATAATTTCATAAAGAATTAAAACCAAACAATTGATACAGAACCTGATACTAAATCAAGAACATACATATACATGCATGTGTGTGTGTATATATGTATATCTATATATCAATGAGAAAAGTAGGGCAACCTTGTTAGTATGCTCAAGGACGTCAGTCTTGGCCTTGGACCGTCAAGAACAAGACCACTAGACCAGCTTCTCCCAGGCTAGTCGGACCACTTTGCGGCTGTCTTTGGTGGTTTGATCCGGTGTAATGAGGAATAGGCGGTGGTGGCAACAGTCGTGGTGGTGGTAAGAGAGCGAAGAGGGACAGACACCATGGAAAAGAGTACGTGGATCCACCACCAGCATTGCTGATGGACATGGCGAAGTTGAAGCTATGGCCATTCTACAGAGTAGAGAGAGAGGAGGAGAGGGAGATGGCGGTTTGATTCGAGAGAATCAAATTTATCTGTGATATACGGGTGTCAGGGTTGAGGGACCTTAAATATCACAAAAAAATATTGTCGACATCTTCTATTACTAAAAATAAGATAGCGACTTTAGACTAATTTTCTCTATAATTTATGTATAATGTATAAATATATTATTATCGGATGTTTTTATTAACTTATCAATTTTTTAGATTAAGTTTAAGATTAGGACTAGAATATGATCTATAATTTAAGGTGGTTTTATCTTAAATATTTTTTTTTAGGGCGAACTACACTAAGAGTCTTTATAGTTTGAAGTTCGTGTCACATTGGTCCCTAACTTTTCAATTGTGATATATTTGACCTTGAATTTTAAATCTTATTCCAAATAAAGACAATTAAAGATACCATTGCTCAATTTCAAGGGCAAAGTCGTCAATTTGATAAAATATAAACTAATTTGATAAAAATAAATGTCATGAAAATATTTTTGAATTTTAAAAAATTATTTCTACCCATCAAAGATAAAATAATGTAAAATTGATAAATCTTTTATACATTTATTTATTTTTTTACCAAATTAATTTTTGTTATGTATTTGGATGATGATCATGTAATGAGTAATTATTAGGCTTTTAATGTGTAATCGATATATTTAGGTCTCGTTTGGCAACAGGCCGATTTAGCCAAAAAGTCAAAAAGCCAACAACTCATACAAAAAAGTCAAAGATTATCTTTTCTCTCTACTTTTTGCACATCTTTTCGTAAAAAACCAAAAAGTCATCCCAAACATACTAGTTTTTTTTTGCTCATATTTTAGCCAAATAGCCAAAAAGTTACTAAATTAGCATGTTTCCAAACGAGGCCTTAATATATGAAATGTTTTTACTTTTTGATTTTTTGATTTAATGGATTGATTTAATAATGATATCAAAGTTGTCGCTATATTTGACTTTTGAAAAAATAAAAACTAATTTAATGAAAATAAAAATAACCATCTATTAGATGATCATCATCCAAACACATAATAAAAATTAATTTGGTAAAAAAAATGTGTAAAAGATTTATCAGTTTTAATTTTATCTTTGGTGGGTAAAAATAATTTTTAAAAATTTAAAAATATTTTTTTCACATTTATTTTTATCAAATTAGTTTATATTTTATCAAATTGATAATTTTACCCTTGAGATTGAGTTATAGAATATTCAATTGTCCTTATTTAAAATAAGATTCAAAATTTAGAATCAAATATATCACAATTAAAAGGTCAGGGATCAAAGTGACACAACCCCAAACTATAGGAACCTTTTGTGTAATTTGCCCCCTTTTTTTTTATACAAAAATATACATAACTATTCATTAATAGCGTTAACATAAATATATAAAAAAAATAATTAAAAATATTTATTTACCAATTTAATAAATAGGTCAAATAATTTATAAGTTGGATATAGATCAAGACAATTTTTAATGATTAGATCACATTGATATAAATATTGAGTCCACTAACTTTTAAGCCACTTCTAATGTTTAATCAACTTTAACACCACAAGTTAATACTAATCTATTATTACGTAAGAGTTATGATATAAGATAATTTATAATTTTTAGCAGACAAATTTTAATGCTTTACAAAATAAGAAAAAATTAATATATTAACAAATGTAATTTATATTTTATCATAAATATAATTTTTTTTTTAATTTTTACTAATTAAATTATGACATATAATTTTATTAAGAACGTAGAACACCCAATTATTGATATCAGAATAATTTTTTTTTTCTTATATGTAACTTTGATAAAAATAAATAAAATTTATTTAATTATAAATTATTTTTAATATGTATTTTAAATAAATTTTATATTATTATTTAAATTTAAAAACTAATTTTTGATTATTTATTTATACTCATACATAAAATGATGGGTAAATTTGGGGTATGAAATTAACTTTTTAATTTTTTTAATATTTTAATTGAGGACACGAAAAAATCTACATTTGAATAATTTTTTAAGTTTTAAACTTAGTAAATATAAAATAAAATAATTAATTTAAATAAAATATTATTATTTTATTTTTTAACTTTTAACTTATTTTTACTCTAAGAGCATCTTAACAGTGATCATCAAGATTTTTCACAAAATTTGAGTAAAATGACCTCCATTTTAACCAAAATTTGATACCACCGCTCACGGTGCACTTCACAAAGTTTGTGCGCGGAACAACTGGTTGGTTCGACCAGTTTAAGCGAATTTTTTTTTTTTTTTTTACCTTATTAACCTTTTAGTGGTCGATCCGCTGTCGACCGTTAGGCAAAAATTTTTTTTTTTTTTGTTTTTTACTGTTTGAACCTTTTCTTCGAACCGTTTGAACCTTTAGGCGGTCGACCGGTTGGTCAACCGGCCGAGCAACCGGCTGGTTGACCGATTGGTCTCTCCCAACGGTTAGGAACAGTGATTTGATAAAATGCTTCGCCTGTTCTCATTTTGGTAAAAAATTTGCTGAATTCTGGATTTGATATCAATTTGGTGAAACCGTTGAAGTTAAAAAAAATGACGTTTTTATCAAATTTTAAATTTGATACCAGATTTGATGAACCGTTGGAGATGGTCTAACTACATTAGCCAAAAAATAATAATAATAATAAACCCAACCAATATGGCAAACGAGTGCGTAATATGCTAGTACTCCATAAATCCAAACTAGGAACTTGACTCGTGTTTTCATGTACTCAAAGATGGTGTGCGCCCCTGCCCCATTGATTGATTGCCGATTCCCTTTCAGAAACCCTTCCACCGCCTCCGGCTCCGGCATTATCACCACCATCGTTTCGAAGTCGAAATCGAAATCGAAATCGAAATTGAAATTGAAATTGAAATTGAAGAGTAATTCATCCAACAGAGATTGGATTTCGAATGGAACAAGAAGCAGTGGCAATATTATCATCAATTGGTGAGTTTTCAATTAGTTTTGTGCATTGTAACTGACCTGTTTAATGAAATGCTTCCAAACCAAACTTACATCCCGTTTGGATTGTGGGTTGAGAAATGAAATAGATATATTTGGGGTCTCTGTCATTGGTGAGAAAAGAAAGCAATGTTTTTGCTTTTCTTATTATCATTTTTAAATTTGGTAGAAATGAAAGCCTGGTTTGTTTTTGTGAAATAATTTTAAAAAATAATTTTTTGAAAATAGTTTATAAAATTTGAAAATTTATTTGGTTGTATGTTTTGAAAATAGTTTTGGATTCGTGAAATTTGGGATGTTTTAATTTTTTTATAATTGTATAGATGAGTGTGTAAGAAAAAATGATTGATTGATATGCGGGTTATGAGAGAATGAGAGCGTAAAGGGGAAAGTGACTTTGATTTTGATTTTGATTTTGTAAAAAAAATTTAACCAAACAAATTTTTTAAATTTTTTCTCAAAAATTGTCTCTCGAAGAGACAAACAAAGAAGGCCAAAGTATGTGTATGGGGGATATATGGGTAGAATTCATTTTTCATATTATATATATATGAAAAATATATATAATAGCTAATCAGTTTTATTATGACCAAATCTCACCATTTTATTGAGAAATGAACATACAAAATAACATTTAAAAAAATATATTTTTCACCTAATCCAAACATGAGAAGAGTTTTCTTTCTTTTCATTTCTTATTAAATCACTCGATGGTACATACTGATTGGTGCAATTTATCTGAATTGCTTTTTTTTTTTTTTTGGAAAATTATTTATCAGTGTACCCAGTAAAAATATTTTCAAATTAATGACATTCTTTGTAAACATTAATATGTGATATTATAAACTTTTTCATCATTTTATAATTAAGTTTTGAAAAAGAAAAATGCTTGGGAGCACTAATTAGTGCTCCCACTAATTAGGTGGCAGTGGGTCCCGTCATTAATGATGTGATGTTTTGGACTTGGAGTTGTGTATTTTTTTTTATTTTTTTTTTTTTTTTTTTTACTTTTTTAATGCATTAGTGCTATTAGTGGTGATGTTTTTAGTGGGATGAATCATTGTTGTTTGAAAAATTCACTGGCAAGTAATTCCCTTCATTTCTGTGTACGACTTATTAGACAAGAATAACTTAAATAAACTGATTGAATAGCTTAAATAAATTGATTATCTGAAAGTTGTGGGAAAGTGTTTTACATTTTTGTTCATTTACTATCAATTTTTAACTTATAATAAGCTCCACCAAAGTGTGACATTTTTAACTTATAATAAGCTCCACCAAAGTGTGACATGAATAGTCCAAAAGAGAGTACTAGTGAGTAGTAAGTAGTGAGTACTCCTTTCTTTTGTTGTGAGTCCCAAAACATAATTCAATAGGAAACCATAACAACTCTGACCTGCACTACTGAAAAAGTAAGGCAATGAATTGTTTGATTGGTTCCAATTTCCATCTAACCAAAAACATTATTGCGTGAGACTTTTAAATTACCCATAATTATCTTCCCATTTTTATGGTTTTAAATTCAAATCCAATCTCAGATTGTCTAACTAACTGATAATTGTTCTCCAGGTTCATGTGGAACCTCAAGTGGGGGTTTAGATGCTTTGTCATCCCATGGAGTTGGACTTCTCGGATGATCTCCATTTATTTGCTGTGTCTCAATTTTGTTGCAGAGGCTCATGATCCTCCATATCATTCATTTGATTATGCTTGTGAAAATGTTCAAAACTATTATGCTGGCATGAAGCATTTGAGAGGTGAAGCACTAAAGCAAAAGTTGAATTCTATCATTGTGAAACATCGATCGTTGCCCTACAAGAAGGTAATTCTGTTTGTAAAATTTTGTCCCTACCACCGCAGTGAGAGAGAATTCATTACAATGGTGAGACCACGTAATGCATTGACACTTGATATCACCATCCAATCATGAATTGGCATGTAATTGAAATGCACCCCACCATACAAATATGTGAGTGTGCTCCTTTGGGATGGGCTTTTTTAGCCTGGCTTTTTGGCTGTTTGACTGTTTTAGCCTAGTTAAAAAAGTTGTGTTTGGCATGATTTTTTATTTTATTTTATTTTTGTAATTGAATTAATGATTGTGAGAGAAAAAATGAAATGATTATTTTTTAGATATGACATTTTGTCTTATTGGCTATTTAGCTAATAACCCACATCCCAAACAGAGCGTTGCGGGTTGAGTTGGATAAGGTAGTTATATTCAATAGCGGTGTTCAATATCTATGTGGTGTTTTATTATTGGATGGTGCTACCACGTGTCAGTGATGACGTGGTATTACCATTATACTCAAGTTTTACACCACTGCTGCTACTTCAAGTAGATGGATACTAAATTTTAATTTTGTATTCTATATCTTGAAAACTGAAGATTGGTTTTGCAAAGTAGGTTTGGGATGCCCTTAAGATTCTTGATGCTGCTGATGTTGACAAACCAGAAGCTTCATCAGAAGTGTAAATGATTATCTTGTCTGCTGCCGATTTCAATTTGTGATTATAAAGCTTAGAAATAAGAGTTGCACGGCTATCACTTGCAAATTTCTTGTGTACAGAATTGAAATTTACTCCTTGAGAGTTGTCTCCAAGCTCTTAGCGGGGAAACCAGAAGGATGGAATCGTGAGTCATTTAACCAGATAAACTGCAGTTGCCATGTATCTTGGGCTTGTGTTCTGCTTAAATATATGATCAATGATTAAGTGTCCTGTTTTGACTTGCTCTCTTAGCTGTGGTGTTATGGGGCTGCTATGTTTCTCAAGTTTATGGTAGTTGGGGCATATATTCATGTCTTTTTCTTCCAGCAATGTGCATGCTTTTTTCTCAATGATGCTTTTGTGAGTTTGTAACTATCAAATAGAATAGAAGATTTCTGTATAGTTTTCTTGTTTTTATGCTTGCACTCTATCAATGTATTTACTGACCGTGCGTTTGTATTGCCATATGCCAAATTACTATGATAAGTTGGACGTGTTTATGAATATTTTCCCAATAAGGTGAGTTGAATTTGTTGTGGTCTTTTCTTTCCGGTTGCCTGATTTCTGTGATTCTTACGGCAAGTTCAATTATAACTCTCTAGCTCACCAAAGCCCATTGTATTTTTTATGAGGCAATGCAGCAAAATTGAAATTATTGATAAGCTTGTGGCCTACATATAGCTGCTACAGCTCTAGAAGTATTCATGTTTTCTTTTTCTTTTCCAGGGGAACATTTGTGGCCTCGGTCTTACGGGCTAATCAATGGTCCATCCTTAACTGATTTACACAATATTCGCCCATCAGACGTGAATGGTAAGATGGGTTCCCTTCTGGGTATGACTATGAAGTTAGTCTCATTTATTGACACTATTATTGACATCAACATGACAACGTAATCAAACATTGTCGTAGTGAATTCATCAAGGGGAAACAAGTTCTATGGAGAATGCCTTGTTAATTCTGATTGTTTGAAGCCAGCAACCAGAGAATCCGCATCTGACACTGAAACAGATAAGAAGAGATGGACACCACCGGTGCAGGTTTAGTCTTTACCATAATATGATGTATAGATTTTAAATTCTCTTAGGCTGGTTTGATTATTACACTGCTGTTAAATTTTATTTATTTATCACCTATTGATAATTTTGAGATAATGAAGGATGTCAACAAATTTTGGTTGGCTGGTGTCAGTTTCTAGAGAGCTGGGTTTATCATTGTTGTGGCCATTTGGTAATAGTGACATTGAAGTGGAACCTAAAACCAGAGCTTATTTATCTAAATGAGCTTACATGATCACAAGAGAAATTAGCTAACTAGTGGAAGAAAGTTAGATTAGAATCCTTTGAGAAAGAAAAACCAAGGATTAGACTTGCATCCTATGCTACGTGGACTCAGTACGGGGTATCGGGTGTGGGTGCATATCTAGAGATTGGACGCATCAAATCTCAAATTTAAGGACACGGCAAAAAAAATTATATTTTTTTATCTATTATACGAGATAAATTGGTATAAAATGGTATTATATGTAACCTACAGTGTGAAAAGACATTTTACTTATTTTATAGCTACTATTTCTATGCTACCCGTAACAATGCACCGAAACAAAATTTTAATCCTTGTGTGCCTGTTAAAATGAAATTAGTAATCTGGCTTGAGTAATTTCAAAATGATTAAAAAGAAGGGGTTTATGGAGTTCTTTGATAAAGTAACGACGTTTTGCTTTTCCTCTTTGCTTGCGTTGTTTTTGGCTCTAATGCTAAGTAACAAAGTTATTTTCTATACATTGTAATTCAGGTTAGAGGGGATATTGCAAGGGCAATAATGTACATGGCGGTCTGTTATGGGTTTGATCAATCAGGCGGAGGCCTTAAGCTTCACCTCTCTGATTCTCCAAGCATTGGTATGTCAAAGAAAATTTGGTAGAATAAGTTGTGTGTATGTGTGAGTTCCTGTGCATCTCAGTATACCAAACTTCATGAGAGAAACCATGAAATGAAGGATTCTTTGTGTTTCATACCATTTCTTTGGAGCTAATTTATATGTGGGGCAATTCATTTTACCAGAAAATTTGGCTTGTCTGACATTTGTGGATATGGCATCAAAATCGGACATTCATTCACACTTTAAAAAAGATTCTACCTTCTTTTTTTAACCTAAAATGTTCAGAAGAAGTAAGAAAATTTAATGCATATTTTGTAAGGAACTTGTAACTTCTAACTCATATTTCGCTTTTAGTCGGACGAAAGAAAAAGTCTTATGTGTTTAATTGTAAAGCCATGGGCTCCCTCTTATGGCCTAAGATTTGAACGAATGGGGATCCCGCTTATATGGCATATGGTGTTGATGAGAAGTACTTGACATTAGAGAGATTTTCCATCCTTCTAGTAAATGTGGATGAGAATTAATGGTCATTATGAATGTTCCGATGATATTTTGTGGCCTTGTTGCAATGTAGAAATAATCAAGAAATGAAAGACCTTGCATATTTTAAATGATTACTGACCCTTTTACAAGCTCAACTTTTCTACATTGTTGTCTGAGATTCATCCATGAATTTTCTTTTCTCCAGTTAATCTACTTCTTTATTTTTATTTTTATAAATATATAATGCATTGTCTCAAACATAATTGCATATCGGTTGTGCCTTATTTTCTGTAGCAAACAGGGAGATGGGGATGCTTTCTACATTGCTGAAATGGAATGAAATTGATCCACCATCAAAAGAAGAGAAGTTGAGAAATGAAAGGATATGCGTAAAGTACCAGCATAACCGAAACCCTTTTGTTGATCATCCAGAATATGCCAATCTCATATGGAAGCAAGTTGTTCAAGGGCATTAGGTCTTTCAGATTCCACAGAGGGATGCATCAGTGAATGAATTTCACTCATATATCCAAGTATTTTTCATATGGCTCGTTGGCAGTTGAAAATGTCTTATTTTAGTCGTATGCATGCATTCAATTAACATTAATGTTTTAAAAATCAAATAAACCGATTGAACTAACCAAATTGGTTGGCTTTGGTTACTTATTATTATTGTTAAATAAATACAATTTTATCGTGATTATGGTTTGTGCTAAAAATCAATTTCTAATTCAGTAGTCGTTTATGAATTCTGCATACTGAATGAAAATAACCAATGCAAATTGACTTAATGTTTATGCTTTTGAAAGTGGTATTATAGTCTCTCTCACTAACCACAAATCACAACATTAAAACTGGAATAGTGTCATATTTTGTTTAGTACTTACATCGTAAAACAGCAAAAATCATAGAGCACTACAACTTCAAACAAGATAGACAAAAACTAACTCGATCTATCAGTGACATATCTATACACAGCTCCAGCAACCTATCCAGGATCAAAAAGGGGAAAAAAACAAAAACAAAAACAAGGGGCAAAACATGTCAGTAGAAGAAGAAATCGCGTGGACTGCGCAGCAAAACAAGCAAGTTCCAACTTCCAACGCACTGTGTAGCTCCCCTTTATGCACCAAGGATATATGTTAGAGCAGTTCAAGCTTTGGGAGAGAACGAGAGTCAAAAATTGCCGGAGCTGGTGCTGCCTGAAGATCTTTAAAGCCTGCAAACTGATGGTAGAAAGATCACGAATTAGTGAAAAAAAAATTAATGTGTGCGAAGGAGTGAGGATTACACTTTGGACACCTTAATCAAGTAATCCTACAAAAAGCAATGCATAAACATGTTGAAATACACATTTAATTACAAGGAATCTATGTCTCATTGTGGCTCAATTAATTTCTTTGCAATTAATCTAAGGTGTACAGAGTACTCATCTCATCCATATTAAGGTTTCTAGGTTTTATGCATGATTCCATTTGGATGCCAAACTAAGTGGTAGAAGTCACGTGATGATCTGTACATAATTAAAAACTTCCTAACAATTGCCCCAATATAGATATCATAACAAGACTTCAAATCCACCAAAATAGGTATTTTTAAACGTATTAGAAGCTGGAATTCAGCCCAAGAAAAAAAAAATCCTAACTTACAAAAATAACTTCTGAGAAAAAAAAAAGGACCCTTCTGGGAGCAGCTTCTCTCAAGATTTTATCCTTTCCATACCCCTCAAGACTCTACTTTGTGAGTCCCACAGAACATATGATGATCTAAACCGTTCATCTTGTAAGTCTTGAAGAGAAAAATATATATATATGCAAAAAATTAGTTTGATTAGATATTGATCAACACACTAACTAATCATGCTTTGTTTTATGGAATGAATGGTAAATATGATTTTAAATTAAAATGTCAATTTTATAAAACAAAACACAATAAGTTGTATGCCTATTGATGTCCAAGGTAACTGGGAATTCGACAAAGGTGAAGATTTCCTGGATCCTATGCCTAGGCAAAAAGGCGAACTAGGTGGCCGCACAAACCAGTTTTTTTTTTTTTTTTTTAATTTTTCGGCGCATTTCTTATACGTTTACTCGGCTTTGATTCCATGAACTTAACTGTTTTACTTGTGTAGGCAACGATCTGAAGAAAGCACTCACTTCGGCCGACGACGCTGTACTTGAGCAAGTCAAAACCGCGCTCAAATTCTTTGGTTGTCCAAACCTTCAAAAGTAAGGGCAAGCCGCCCACATGCTACTTCGATACGATCTAACGTATTCGACCTTTTCGGCTGCAGATCACATCCCAATTCCAAGGGGTAAGCAGCATCTTACGGTACTCATCTTCCCAAACTTCATGAGCCTTAGGGACATCGGCCTTGAAGGTTCGGATTCAGACACAAGTAGTGAAGTCGGCGATCAGGCCACTGAGCAGTCAGGTCAATCCAGCTTAGACGGGTCTGAGGGTCATTTGGGGGAGGAAGTTGACGCGACTCTTAACTTACCTTTTGAAAAAAGTCCGCTTTGACCTCCCACGCACTTCAGGCCGAGTTGACATATCCTTAGAAGAGGATATTTTCATCGATCTAGGAGACCTACCCAGCATAGATCCTGAAAACATGGCTGGGGAATCGCTCGCTTAGATGGCGAGAAGGAAGAATGCCGAAAAAATGGCAGCCAGAAGGAGGGTCAAAGCTGCTAGATTTGAACCTCCACCATCCTCTCTTATTGAGGCTAAACCTTCACCACCTGCTGTTGTTGAGGAAATGGAACAAATTGTTGTGGCCGAATCGGTCATCGAACAACCAGACGACCCAGTTGCCAAACAAAAGGGGGAGAAACGTCTCGCCGAGATTGAGGCCGACTCTTCTGAAGACTTGACCGATAGATGGCCTCTCATAGAAGAGTCCCAAGACTTGGCGGCGCCGTTTGTTATCCATCCTAGAATCAAGAAAGCGCCGGTTTCTGCCGATGCGTCGGCTCTGAAGGACCCCGCCGTGGCCCTAAGCATGGCCTCGTCGATTTCTTTGCCGATGGACAGGGCTGCATTTCGTGCAAAATCGAAGGTGGTTTTGATAGCACTAGCTTCTCAGTCGGCAATATTGGTACGTAGTTGGCAAACTTACAATGCTTCATTTCTTTGTATGCTGACTAGCTTACCCATGTTTTGTTTTAGGCGACGGGCAGAATCGCAAAAATTGGCCGCTGTCATTATGACGCCGTCAAGTAAAAGGGGAAGGCTAAAGAGGCGTTGGCTGAATTGACGATGACGTCTCTTAAAGTCGACTCCGAGGCGAGGAAAGCGGAGGAGGAGCGCACAAGGGCCAATGCTGAGGAAGAGAAGGCTAAACACGCCGATCTACTTAGGGTGGCTGCTAAGGAAAAGGCGAACGCAAGTGACGACGCACTCAAGTTGGCCAAGGAGGCGATCTCGAAGCTAGAGGCCGACTTGGAAGAATCGAAGAAGGCAAAAGAAATTGCTGACTCTGAGATTTCCAAGGCATTTGATGCCAGATAGAACGCGACCATGGAAAAGTATGTAGAGGAGGTACCCAAGTTTGAAAATCAGGGCTTCAAACACGGCTAGCTTAAAGCCCTGGCGGCCGCTAACGTGACATTAGAGCAGCCGATTCCATTTGAGCAGCTAGATGTGGAGCCACTGAAGTCTAACCCCGAAGAATAAATAGTGCTAGTGTAATTTTGCTTTGTGTTAATCATCTTTTGTATGTAGTTTTTGTAGGTTTTTGTTTATTTAGTTTGTAAGTTTTTTGTAGGGCAGTTTTCATGTGTAAAGTGACTACTTGTCTTCTGTATTCAGTTTATTAATGAAAATCGCCCTTTTTGTCTCTATTCTGAATTATTAATTTCAATTGATGGCTAAGTAGGATAATGTAGCATAATTCGGCGATAAATAATTTAAATTAATGGCCAAGACAACATACCATAATTCGGCATTAGATTAATGGCTAATGCAACATTTGGCTATAACATAATTTGCCGAATTAAATATACGGCTCAGTGCTAAGCTCGTCTGGCCAAGTGGGGCAGTGTATTGTGATTCGGCTATAATATATAGATGCTGAGCACAATCGTCCATTTGCCCTTGCCCTAGTTGGACAAGTCATTCTAGAGCCGAATAAATCAGACGGCTTGCAATGCATAACATAATCTGTTGAATAAAATATACGGCTCAATGCTAAGCTCTTCTAGCCAAATAGGGCAATGTACTATAATTCGACTATAAGATCAAATGCCAAGTGTAATCATATATTTGCCCTTGCCCCATTTGAATGTCGTTCCAATGCCGAATAAAACATATGGCTTGTGCTAATCTGGATGTCGTTCTAGAGCCGAATAAAACATATGGCTTGCAAAGTTAACATAATCTACCGAATATTCACATATTTGCCCTTGCTCCATTTGGATGTCCTTTTAGAGCCGAATAACACATACGATTTGCAACGTTAACATGATCTGCCGAATATTCACATATTTGCCCTTGCTCCATTTGGATGTCCTTTTAGAGTCAAATGACACATACGGTTTACAACGTTAACATGATCTGCCGAATAAAATATACGGCTTGCTGTTAAGCTTGTCTGGCCAAGTGGGGTAGTGTGACGTGATTTGGCTATGACATAATATGCCGAATAATCATATATTTGCCCTTGTCCTATTTGGATGTCATTGTAAACCCGACTGCAGACGCAGGGTTAGCTGCGGGGCGCATCGAAAATGCTGCATCTGCAATTAATGAACGAGGTATCTATTATCTAAAAGGTCTTATGTGTCGTGGAGCTGATCTAGCACAAACGATGAAAGTGGTACTCGATAATTGGAGAGTGAGCAGACACTCGAGTGTCGACTATGCTCATGAGCGGGGTCATAAAAGTCTCAGAGGTTATTCTTCAATAGTAAAGGAGAATGAAGGAGCTTGGCAGAGTTGGACGTTAAGATGTATTGTGCTACTGAGGGCAAAGCTTAGAGAACAGGAAATGTGACAGCGAAGGGGAGAGAGAGACGTCGATCGCCCAGACGTCGGAGTAGGTCCCCTAGGAGAGGTGATGTAGTGCGGTCCTCCAGAGAGCGGGCTCAGCAATGAGGGAGCTCAAAGACCACGAGTGGGCATGCCGTTCTGCGAGGTGAACCGAGCAGACCACCGCGCCTGCTATGCTTTTCGGTCTTTATTGGGAACAAACCAATGACTGAAGCGGACTCAATAGTCCGTGACCCCAATGTGGCGATGGAATTCACGCGGCAAATATTTCCACCAGAGGTGTAGCAAACGCTCGTCGGCCGGGGTGATTACGAAATTTTTAGGGAATGTATACATGGGTCGATCCAAGGACTTTACAACGCTTATGAAATTGGCATACGCCTACGCGCAACGAAAAGAGAACTCAAGCAAAAGGAGGGGCGCATTCGAGATTTGGAGTGTTGTGCAAAAAAATACAAGAATGAGCTAAAAAAGGCTAAGGTGGCTGAAACGCAATCGGCGTGTGTCGTAAACCTAGTAATCACGGACAGAATCAACCAACGACTGCTAGATCACGCTATGGCCGATAAAGAGATGGAAAATATGTTTTCCAAAGAGGCTATAAGGACTCAAGCCTATGAAGAAGGCTTTTTTGATGGCCGAAAAATCGACATTGAAAAGACTAAGGAAAAATTGGTAGAAGACGTATGTCGATGTGAGAACCGCGGC